TTGTAAACATTCATAAATGTTTAATTTTAACAATAAGACTGAAAATGTTATTTGTATAATGTTTTGTATTCTCTTTTGTTTGTTTGTTTGTTTACCTTGTTTGTTTAATTTGTTTGTTTAGTTTACCTTTGTCTACAAATTGTAAAATTTTTTGACAATAAGGGATTTATTTATTTATTTATTACTTAGTACAAAAAGTTAACAAACTTTTGTTCTTTTCCACTAGTTATACTTCAAAATTTAATAATAATAATTAATAATTTAAATACTTAAAAAGTTGTGTCATTTTGGCCTTTGATTGGCTAGAAATAAATTTTTTATTGTTTTAAAATTTATAAGCTAATTATTCTATAAATACAAGTGACTATTTTAATTGTATATTTTTAGACATTGTGAACGATCGTAAACTAAAAAGTATAAAGTGTAATTGAAACCCCTAATTTATTCCACTAATTTTGAGGTTCTGAATGAAAGCTTAATAACAAATTACAAATAACTGTAAATTTAAACTATCTTTACAGTGGTACAACAACTTTAGCAAAAATGTAACATTTGTCTTAAATGATTTTATTCTTGCATAATCTCCAACCATTATCATGTAATATCTTCATTAATTTTTAAGTTACATAACAAATAATTAAAGACTATTAACGTGGATTCGTAGTATGTATACGGGTACTTCAATTTAAAATTTATTTTATATCGGTATACTCTATAATTTTGTAACTCAGTAATAAAATACGAAATGTGCTTTTTATGAGTTTAACAGCATGTGGTTCGATTCGAAATACAATAAAAAATTTATTGGACATCAATTTTAAAAAATGTTGTTTTCTAGGTTCAGTAAATAATATAAGCCATAAATAAAAAATTGTAGCCATAAAAATGGTTCAAAGCTTTACTAAGCATACTTGATATAAAAAAAAATTACACACTTTAATTTTTCTGGATAATTTCCTATAGGTGTAAAGATTCTCGTCTTTCTGCTTATATTCTCTGTAGTGTCGGATATTGCATAGCCATATTACTAAAAACCCTATGAACTAAATAATTAGTTCATTGATTTTTTAATATTAAAGAACTGTCTTATGCCGAAAACACTGCGACCTGTAAGTGAGTTTAAGGTGTCCCCAAAAAAAGTGACACATCAAAGTTGTGTTTTTTTTTCTAATGGAACACCCTATATATTAATTGATTATCGGATTCTATGAAAAAAATAAAGGTGAGTTTTATTAAAGAAGCATATACTTAAAATCTAAGAATTTTGACATATTTCACATTTTGTGAAAATGAAGAGTAGATTTTAAATTTCGATAACAGTTACCTAAATTTTAGTTGACCTTGTATAGCCAGATATTTAATTACAGTAACCGTTGTATGTTAAACTAAATTGAAAATTGACCCGAAAAGTTATACAGGGTGAGACAAAATTAATATGGAACATTAGTCACTTTTAAAAGCAAGTTACTCCTTGATTTTAAATGGAACACCCAGTATATTATTTCGGTGTTCAATGGAGAATTTATATATCTTCAAAATATTATTAAGGTTGCCTACCCTTCAGACAAAGATTTTCCTAAATATTTTAATTTTTATGATTTTTTGTCAGTAGATCTTTATTATTTGAAAAAATCTGGGGGGCTGTGATATACCTTTTGATAATTTAACAAAAATTAAAGATTGTAGAGTAAAATACTCAACGGTAATAAAAAGATACACGTTTAAAACATATTTTAATTATTACACAATTAAAACTAGATAATATAAATCTATAATTATGTGACAAAAATTAGCTAGATGAAATCAAATGCTCAAATGCTTCCTTTCCTGTTATCTGCATAAATTGATTGTCTTTTCAAATGGATCATTTCATTTTAAAAGGCATTATGTGGAGTTCTACCTCGAAAAGCAGCTACAATAATTTCTCTCATTTTGACGACAATGGTTGGTCGAGTTTTTTAAACACTGTCTTTAACATATCCCCATAAAAAAACAGACTTGCCTACCAATTAAAAGCATTATTATCAAAAATGTACATTTAATTTTTGTTTAGAATATAATTTGTTTGCGTGTTGCTAAACGACAGTTTGCGATATTGTGGTTATTCTGTCATTGATTAATAGACGTAAACAGACGTCATTTAACAGTAGAGGAAGCAAATCAAGCCATTGGGTTGCTTCTTGGCGGTGCGCGACAGGTCCATGTGGCTGGTCGATTTAAAGTCACCTAAAGTGTAATTTCTAGACTTAAAAACCGATTTAATGAGACTGGACTGTCATGGAGAGGCATAGGGAGGGTAGACCAAGGTCGACAAATGCTAGAGAGGATCGAAGCTTAATGAGAGGAGCTAGGATGGATCCTGCAAGAAACTACACGTAGCTCAGCCAGGACCTTTTGGCCGCCAGCAGAATACGTATTACCCCTCGGACCGGACGGTCTTAAATCGATTAAAAAAAGCAGGTTTACATTGCTATAGGCCTATAAGACGCCCTCCTTGATCCTCCAATGATGTCAGCATAAATTTCATCTGTCATTGTACCTTCACAGACATACAATTCCGTTCGGCCTCCGTAGAATTCCACCCCAGACCATTACACCTCTAACTCCAAAGCGATGCCCTTCTTGAACATATCGGTCGTTAAGTCTTTTATTTCTTAGTCTCCACACACGAACTGTACGTTTGTCAGTACGAAGACAAAAGCGGCTGTCATCGCTGAACATCGCAGTACGCCACTCATCATTCCAGATAGGTCTTCCATTACACCAGAGCAAACGTTGAGCTTTAAAATCTCAACCTGACTCTCGCAGTCAACGGAAAGCGTCTTATAGGCCTATAGCAATGTAAACCTGCTTTTTTTAATCGATGTAAGACCGTCCGAGGGGTAATACGTACTCTGCTGATAGCCAAAAGGTCCTGGCTGAGCAACGTGTAGTTTCTTGCAGGATCCATCCTATCTGTTCTCAGTAAGCTTGGGCCCTCCCTAGCATTTGTCGACCTTGGTCGATCCTCCCTATGTGTCTCCATGACAGATCCAGTCTCATTAAATCGGCTTTTAAGCCTAGAAATTATATTTTAGGTGACTTAAAAAATAAATCGATCAGCCACATCGATCTGTCGCGCACCGCCAAGAACCAACCCAATGGTTTGATTTGCTTCCTCTATTGTTAAATGGCGTCTGTTCATATTATCGATGAGATAATAACCACAACACGCAAACAAGTTCTATTCTAAAGAAAAATTAAATGTACATTTTGGATGATAATGCTTTTTATTCGTTTGGGTACAATTTTTTATGTTTACAAACAGTATTTTTTTAAACACAAACGACACGTATTAATAGTTATAACACATTTTTTCCGAAAATTTTTCTTTTTCTGAAAAACACAATATGTTTTCGCTAGTAAGAAAAATTTTCAGAAAACTAGCAACTTTTTTCGATTAGTTTATTTCGTTTATACTCGAGATCACTTAATTCGATTTGACTACTGCGATGACCGTTTTTTATTAATATCTTTGTTAGTTTACTGCAGCCGAGCATCTAAATTAAGACTTGCTGAAGTAATATCGGTAATAAGCCGGCGAAGACTAGTTCTTTTAAATTTGCATATAGTGTACACACTCACGCTATAACTTCGAAACAAGAAAAAAACTCAAGTTAGGTACTCGAGGACTTTTATGGACATATATTTTCAGTTTTTAGGTAGACTCGCCGAAGAGAAAATTAGTACGTTCATTCGCATGACGATAAATAATTATCAGAAACCCACTGAGAGAGCAACTAGTTTAATACAAAAAAACTGTTTGATTTAAGATCACTTAAAAGGAACGTATAATTTTTTAGATGTTTTACTCGATAACTACGCAACATGATAAAAAGTATCTTTGGACTCATTATCTTTCGGTATAAAATAACATTGTAGGGAATATTTTATTAAAGTTACTATTTATTAAGTATCTATTTTTAATCGCCCCAGTGGGCTATGTCCAGAGAGGTCATGTAATCAGTGAATGGATAGCAGCTAACGGCCTGATTATCGCAAACAAAGGCGAAAAACCTACTTTTCAGCGGCAGTCATATCACTCAATCTTGGATCTGACAATTTCTACAGAAAACGTCAATATTATAAACTGGGAAGTCAGTGAAAGGGAAACTCTCAGCGGTCATAACTACGTATTGTTTGAAATTGAGGGCACTCAAACCATAAAAAATCGTAATGACATTTATAAAAAATGGCAGCATAGGAAAATAGACCAGAATAAATTACGAGAAGCCATGAATGATATAGATCTGAGTGCCAATGCCACCACGTTAAAAGGTTTCTATTTTAACTTAAATAAAATTTGTGACAAATCGATGCCAAAGAAAAAACCCTGTAAGAGAGGTCCTCCTGCTTACTGGTGGAGCGAAGAAATAGCCAATCTCCGCACTACCTGTATTAAGAGAAGACGCGCTTATACTAGGCGGTGCTCTGCTGATCTGATTATACGTAATAGGCTGTGGGAGGAATATCTGGAAACTAAGAAGATACTCAGAGACTCCATAAAAGAGGCGAAAAGACAGAAGTGGAAAGCATTATGTGACACAATAAACTGTGATATTTTTGGAAACGGGTACAAAATTGCTATGAAGTGCATAAATGGGTTTCCTTCTAAATCAAAGCTGAGCGTTGAAGCAATGGCAGAGGAAGCTAAAAAACTATTCCCTGTTCATCCAAACGTGATATTTAACTGTAATATTAGAGATAGTTTTGTAGATTTTAGTGTAAATGAATTGAAACAAGCCTGTGATAAATTAAAAAAACGGAAAAGCCCCTGGACCTGGAAACGTGCCTGTCGAAATACTTAAGCAATTAATAGACAAAAAACCAGAGTATATTTTGAAGGTTTATAATCGCCTAGCAAGAGACTTGCTTTTTCCTCCCGAGTGAAAGAAAGCCGCACTGGTACTGATTCCTAAAAACTCTAACTCAGAAGATGGATCACCCGCATACCGACCGATATGTCTTTTAGATATAGAAGGAAACTATATGAACACCTTATCCTTATTAGACTAAATGAAGAACTTGATCGAATAGGAACTCTTTCAGCGCGCCAATATGGTTTTCGAAAAGGTAGACAAACAATACATGCGATCGAACATGTACTTCTTATTGCCAGACAAGCAGCAGATTATGCACCAAATAATAGAAAATTATGTGCAGTAATTACTCTAGATGTGCAAAATGCGTTCAACAGTGCTTCGTGGCAGATCATTCTGGACGAAATGCAAAAATGGGGTATAAGTTCGTCTCTGACTAACATGGTGGCATCTTATCTCTCTGAAAGGACAATTTTAATTGAAGACGATACTGCTAAAAGGCACATTAACGTAACCAGTGGAGTGCCACAGGTGTCAGCTCTAGGTGTCAGTGCTTGGCCCAACACTATGGAATATCCAGTACAACGACCTACTGGAAACGGCAATGCCCGAAGGAGTAACACTAATCGGCTTTGCCGATGACGTAGCGATGGTGGTAACGGCCAAAAACGAAAAGACACTTACGAGTGTTGCTAATGCAGGGCTACAAAGAGTGGCTAACTGGATCGAGCGCAAAGGTTTAAAACTAGCACCGAACAAAACTGAAGCGGTTTTATTAACCACCAAGAGGAAACTCTCTCATATAACATTTGAGCTTCTCGGTTCTCGGTACAATTTCACCAAAGAATGCAATAAGATATCTTGGAGTTTGGCTTGTTTCAAAGCTTATATTCGGCGAGCATATAAATCAAGTTATACGAAAGGCGGAACGAACTTTGACCGCACTGGGTAGGGGGATGCCTAATATAGGAGGGCCACTTGCTTCCAAACGTAGAATCCTAGCCTGTGTAGCACACTCTCAACTGTTATATGCTCCCCCAGTGTGGCACTTCGCAATATCAAAGGGATATATAAGGCAAAAACTTAAAGCTATACACCGTAAACTGAACCTCAAGATCTGCAGTGCATATAGAACCATCTCCGCTGAAGCATTAAATGTCATATCCAGGGTGCCGCCTATTCACCTACTTGTAGAGGAGAGAAGAGAGAGATACAAAGGGACATCAAAACTGGAGGCAAGAAGCATACTGATGACTGAATGGCAAAAGGAGTGGGATCTAGATAGATATGGTAGATGGACACATGATCTCATACCAGACATTAATATCTGGTTAGACAGAAGCTTTGGAGAGACGGACTATTTCCTAACTCAGGCATTGACAGGGCACGGATGCTTTAACAACTATTTGCATAAAAGGGAGAGATCCACCTCAAATTTGTGTATATATTGCAAGGAAGTTGACAGTGTCGAACACACACTATTCATCTGCAATGAATGGAAGCAGTTTAGAGAGTCATTCCAACGGGACAGTGGTGGACAAGTCTTTAATGCCAAAAATATGATGCAAGGGCTACTAAGTGGTGAAACGTCATGGAAAATTACATATAGATGCATTCGAGAAATAATAGAAACCAAAGGAAATAGAATGCGGGGCCTAACCGCATAGACAGCCTTCCAGCTGAAGTAATGCGCAAGCGGTTTCCAGCTGGATAGAGCGATGGAATGCGAGGAGGGTTTTTTTAGTCGGTAGGAATCCGACACTACCCAACGGTGTCTTATGCAAGATTTCTCCCCTCCTCCTCAAAAAAAAAATCTATTTTTAATCATAAATGTATGTAGTAACTACCTATCACAATATACAGGGTGGCGCCTCTCACATGACGCGTATGCCCCTAATAAGTAGACCAGGAGGCAGTGAAATTGTTGTCTACTGATTTTTCCAGTGGGTGAATATACCGGGTGCGTCTCAAAAGTGGCTCACCCCTATAACTTTTTTATTTTTTCAGGTAAAAAAACGAGATTTGGTATGTTAGTACATGACATAAATTAGGATTGATTGTCGTATTCAATTGTTTTCGGTCACTTCCTGTTTCACCGGAAATGACTACAACTTTTGATTTTTAAATTGCACCCTCGGTATTTTTTTACTTTATTCGATAGAAAATGACATTCTGAATCGAATGACATATCATATGTCAACTTTTGACGTATTCGTTCAAAAACAAATTGCATTTTAAATTTCAGGCTAGAGTGCCATGGCTGTGTTAAAAACACTAATCAAGGAGCCTTGGAAAAATAGATTCGATCGTCTAATGTTTTTAGTGTCTTGTCCTGGTCGGTTCAATAATTCCCAAATCATATTATTATTCATATCCCAATGTTTTCAAATGGAACGAGGGTGGCTCATGAGCATATTTGGAAAAAGCATTTTTTACGAATAATTTGGTACCACACACTTGGTATTTCGAGTCAAATTGTCGTTATGAACCGCATGTTATAATTTAAAATAAACCATATGCAAAAATGTCAAAAGTTAACATATGATGTGTCATTCTATTCAGAGCGTCATTTTCTATCGAATATATAGTAAAAAATTCCGAGAGTTAAGTTGTAGAAAATTAAAAACCATTTAAAAATCTAACGTTGTAGTGATTTCCGGTACAACAGGAAGTGACTGAAAACAATTGAATACGTCAATCAATCTTAATTTATGTCATATACTAACATACCAAATCTCGTTTTTTTACCTGAAAAAATAAAAAAGTTATAGGGCTGAGCCACTTTTGAGACGCACCCGGTATAACAGGTTATTCAGATGGTGACATTAAATGACAATTTGTGAGTCTGGCTAAAATTTCACTATATATTTTAGAATGCGTTTTTGTAAAAATGTCAATAATAAGAAAGATTATAATTAGAGTTAATATATATAACATATGTATAACATGTCGACAAATTTGAACGTGTGTTTGTCAACGTGTATAAATTGAGCTCGTCAAAATTATCATCGATTGTCATTGCCCAGTTACTCTTTGACGCCGTTTTTTCGATCATACGGTATTTTAATTAGTAGAATATGTTGCCATGCAATTATATTTTTATATCAAACTCGACAGTTGCTCTAAAAATCTATAATTTATAAAGTTATAAACTAAAAAGATTCAATATTCTGAAAGAAAGTGCAGTTTTTCAATGAAAAATCCCCTAATTTTTCTAAAACATCCCTATTTTAGATATTTCCATGATTTCTTTATAAAATTATTCAAGAATAACCCATACAATCAAATTTTCCATAATAACCCCTTTTATTACCTATTCCAAAAACATTTATTTACAGTAACAATCTTTTCATTGAAATGTACGTTTTATAATTAAAAATCGCCAATCACATATGTCTGTTCTAACATCATATCAATAATAAATTCAATCTAAAGTTGTCAATCGGTCCCAGCACACTACAAAATAACAGCAAATCTGTCAGTTGCGAAGAAATACCCGGGCAAAAGACGCTTGACAAACCATTTTCGCACTTTTTCGTCGTATTTTCGCGGAAATAATAGTACTCGTGTGTGTGTTTTTATAATTTAATCATCCTAGAGGCCTGTTAAGTGTTTTAAAAGGGTAAGTTTATCAAAATCTTTGTTTATTTGCGTTATTTTGCCAATTTTTTGTCGAATTTTTTAACCTAAACGACGACGCGTCAAAGCTGGAAAGACAGATTTTTTTCATGGCAAGCGCGATCTAATTTCAAACCGCCGCGCCGCGCCGCATGTCCTCGATCGAAGATTTCGATGCAGCGTGAGACGGAAAGCCGCCTACTAGCGTAGGTTTGGGCAAACTTACTGGCATTCTTTACGATTGCGTCTAAAAATTATCGGAAGTAATTACCCAAGTGCATCAAAATTACCGATAATTTTTCATGAAGGCATGTCTAAAAACTGCATGAGTTTATATTCATATTTTGCCATAAGATATAAACGAATGCTGTTTTTGTTTATTGACAACATGCTTAAATAAAAAATTATCAGGTTAATTTTGAAGCACGAGTGTAATTCGATAGAATATTTTCCGAATAAAAAACATGAAAATACAAGTGAAAATACATAGATTTTTTAAAAACATTTATTTGAACATATTAAAAAAATCTATTTAAAAACGAAGCAATAAGATGAAACGGAACTTATAATATTAGAAATTAAAAATTACATGAAGAATTGCAGTGAAAAGCACAGTTATAAAAATTATTATGTTTAGATTCCGTTGCGGTACTGGAAGATGCTGAATTTAAAGATGCTACATTTTTTTTGAATTGAAATTAAAAGAATTTATAGTAGGTACAAAAACACATTAGTACTATTATTAGAACTTGTAGCAGTTTCATTGTCTCTTATTTTTTCTACCAAATTTGCATGATGTTCATCATCGTGTTGAAGGTAACGTTTAATTGATTTCGGGTTTGCGTGCCTAATTATTTTGACCATTGTGTTCTCCTCAACCCCCTTCTTTGCTAGTATCGACACAACTGTTGCATGTAGCAAATGATTAGTAATTTTTACTTTCTCCGTAGCCAAACCTGATTTTTTCGCTTTAACAGACATTCATTGTGCAATCGAATTTTTCCCAACAAGAAGGTTCTTGAACCATTTACACATTTTCCAGGAAGGATTTATAGTTAAAAACAATATTGGAACATTAATTAATTTTCTTTTTTCCATAAATTTTTTGAATAGCCTTACTGGACATATATCCGGTTGACCTCTATTTATGACCAGCCATTTTGACGGAGCACCAGTTTTATCTCCTCCTTTAGTGGTTTTATCGAAGATCGGGTTGCAATACGACCGGTGGGTTATCCTATATTATCAATATCATATTTAAAATAGGAAACAAAACATTTTCCTCCCTCTCCTCCTCGCCAGGGCCTATTTTTCATATGGTCGGGCCCTAAGGCCCAAGCAAAAATTCGAGCCCTCTCATAAATTCAAAAATTCTCTTGTTAGTTTGGATTAAAAAAATAAAACAATTATTTTTATTTTTTAATAATTTAGAAAAATAAATAAACATTATTATTTTCAACAAAATAAATAATAAAAAAATTATATCAATCTAAAGCTTATTTTATTTAATTCTATTTTCCGTATCAGAGGTAACTGTTTTTTTTTCTCTGCTATGTAAATTTACATTTGAAATTATGAATATTTTACAACCTTTAACGGGCCCCTCAGACCAACGGGCCCAAGACCTGGGCCTTATGGGCCTTATGGTAAAATAGGCCCTGCTCCTCGCCATGCCAATTCGTAGGATAATACAAAAAATATTTTTTTTTGCGAACCATAGGGACATTCTTCATTACAATTTCGTACCATCAATTTGAATTCTTCGTATCTGAGTGCCTTAAAGCTTTCTTTTTCTATTAAAGGGTCCATCTGCAATTCCTTCCTTTTAGCACTTTTTGCCTCCCGGGATATTTTAAATACGGTGTCAGTAAAAGGATTAAATTTAATATTATATTCTTTTTGGTATTTTTCCATTAATAGCTTGGCTGTTACATTCCAAATAGTTTTTACCGTAAAATCCTTATAGTCTTGGCCGTTTTTCCTCAAAACTTTGCCGAAAATTACCGGCTTCATATGGGATTTTT